ATTTAGTGGTAGATGACATATGGTGGGAAGAATTAGATTTAGTGGTAGATGACATATGGTGTGAAGAATTAGATTTAGTGGTAGATGACATATGGTGTGAAGAATTACATTTAGTGGTAGATGACATATGGTGGGAAGAATTACATTTAGTGGTAGATGACATATGTTGGAAAAAAAATAATGTAATTTCTTTCAAATGTACGTTAGATTGCAAACTTAGATGGTTTTAATATAGAATCACTCACAGAATTATTAGCTCATATAGATATCTTCATATGATAAAGATGAAAGACTCCCCACATTTTGTAATAGATATGTAGAAACTTTATTACACATGTTTTGTGAATGTAGAATAGTGGACAGCTATTGGAATGAAATTAAAATGTGGTTACAAACAAAATCAAATAAAACAATACCTCTTCAAAATAGTGACAGAATCTTAGGCAAAATATCAGACAGACAAGAATTAACCTCTCTTAATACAATAATACTTAGTAATTGTTAAACTTCACTTGTATACAAACAAAAGATGGGAAACAAACTACCCAGTATTACTGGTTTCAAAAAACTTTTAAAAGACCCAGAGTGCTATACATACAAACAGAAAAAGTAATATACAAAAAACAAAAATGGGATATGAAAAATTACAAAAAGAAAATGGCATCAAATAAAGTAAACAGCTGCGCATTGTCACTTAAGTGCTCAAATTTCAAATTTCACAAAATAGAATGAGAGCGAGTGTGAAAAAAAAGTTGATGTTTTGTCCAAAAGAAAATGATATAAAACTTTCTATATCTCACAAATTTAAAATTGTGTTATATAATGTATTTTATTCAAAATCCAATATTTATTTATGTACAAATCATGCAATAATAGAAGAAACATATTATTTGAACATGTACTGAATACAATGTATGCATAAACCATGGCAAGATACAGTAGGTTTATCTCAAAATGTGGTTTATATGGAAATTGAACAAAAGTAAGTAAGAATTTACCTAACAAGATCAAAAATACTCGTGTACGAATCTTGTAGAAAATGAAGAAGCAAAACAACTTAATTCTATATTGTAAAACAATGTATGCTCTTAATTAAGGCAATGTATATCATGTATAAGATGCAGAAAGATAATATAAAAAAATATAAAAAAGTAAACATTGCCGTTACTTAAAATAGAACAGGTAATATATACTGTCAAAAAATTGTTGTAAATGGTCCTTTCTGAACAGTCAATGATCACTTTTACTTTTGCTTGGTGCTTATACGGGAGATACACTGTCAGGCATACAGTACGGGAGATACACAGTCAGGCATACAG